TGAATGGAGGTGGTATTTTGGCATGCTAGCGACTGAAGGAATTTCAGTCCTCTCGCGTTTTAGAAATTACAAAAGCTTATTAACTTGCTGATGCTAATAAGAACTTTCTATTTTAGGTTTATGACGAAAGTAGATCAGATGGTAAAAGTACAGTGTTTTTATATGGAAGCTGACAAGACTGTTTCAGTACCATTAGAAGTCAGGTACGTTTTACTTTGCTGACTAGACTAACGACTGTTTTATCATCGTTCCTCCTCCCGTTGATGCAGCTGGCAATTTATTTTCATTTTGGGTTGTTTTCACTAGCAAAATATGTGGAGTTATTTTACCTGTAATAGAAAATCCCCTTTTCCTTTAGCTTCTCCGCAGGTTTTTTGAATGCAAAAAATACCAGTGCAGACAAGAAGGGTTTGTGTCCTTCTCTCAAGCTTGTCTCAAGGTATCGTGGGTGAAGCCCTTTCTTGATTTTGGGCCAGGAGGGAGTCGAACCACTCCACCTCAAATCCAGACACAGCGTGTTACCACCATACAACCAAAGTTCTCGGTTCAGCCTGGCAGCACTTCTACTGTGTATCTGCCTTCAGTGCGCGATGCACCTTTTTTTTCTCTACCTCATACAGGCAGTTTCCGTCTTTTTCTGTGTGGGGCTTCTTGCCTGGCTTTTTGCGGGTTTTCCACGACACAGGGTTCCTGATGTATTCATGTGCAGTCGGTGCAGTGAGATGCAAAAGTCTATGAATAAATTGAAAAGTAGCGCCTTTTAAGCATGATTACAACGCAGTTCCGCGAGAAGATGTACGAGATGCCACGCTGTGAATATACACTTCGACGTGGATCACCGCAAGGTCCAATAGTAGAATATGCGCAGCTTGGAGAAAGTGTGTATCACCGCTGGGAATGTCTGGATCAGGCCGATACATTTGGCATGCTCGTTCACTCATGCTATGTAGACAACGGGTATGGCGATCGGGTTGACATACTCGACAGTAAAGGGTAAACTTCGAATTTTGCATATTTTTCGAGTGATATAAATTCCCCTCTCCTAGTTGGGCTGATATCTCATCGAGATTTAGAAATAACTCTAGGTAAGATCATACTGCTCAATAATACACTAAAATATCTAAAATACACTAAAAAACTAATACACTAAAATACATTAAAACGATAAAGCCCTTGGGAGCAATTCTTTCAGGAGAAGAAAACTGGCAGCAGAATTAACTGCAAACTAGCTATCAAATTATGCGGTATTGTTCAAAGAAAATCGAAACTTGTCCACTGCTTAGCTGAAAAAAGATACCGTGAAGTGTAGCTGATCAAACTAAAAACCCAGGCTGCAACGCACCAGGCTCGTCGGTGCGAAAATTTGTCTTTGCGCTGAATTTGAAAATCACCCCTGCTGCGATAAGGCAGAAATGAACCCTGCTGCGGTACTTATACCGGCTGTGTTTTGACCTCCTCACGCTTGCAGGGGGAAGGGGTCGGGTGGGATAGAGGTGTTGCATTATGGGACCACACGGATCTCCAGTGTGCATGATTATCAGTTTTTTGCGTAAAGCGCGGTTGTTTTTCCCGTGAGTGCTCGTTCATTGAGAAAGTGCAAATTTGAAGGAAGTTGGAAAAGGATTACAAAATCCGCAAAATGCACTCGCTTTTGAGTTTGCCGTAAAATTGAGTATTGGTCTTATCCGCGTGTAAGAAATTTCACTTCCAAATGGAATTAAGACCACACATGAATTAACTGCCACAAACAGATATTGTAAAATTGGTGCCATCCAGTCAGTAGACAAGCA